TTATGAAAATGCAATGGATGTAAAGAGAAAGATGTTTACTTTATTGTCCAGTAAAGCCTCAGCCAAATGTTGGGCCCCTTTGCTTCCGATTTCATTTCCATAGAGGTCAAGATCGATGAGTGTCTATGTGAAAAATTAAAGAGAAGAATGAGACAGATGCAAAAAGAAAGAAGTTTACAGTGTTGGTTCGTAAAGCATCGGCCAAATATTGAGCTCCTGTGCCTACGATGTCATTATAAGAGAGATTGAATGTGGTTAGCTTCTGTGTAACAAAGTGAAGAATGAGAATGATAAATAAAAAAAATTAAGAGAAGTTTACCTTGCTGGTTCGTAATATATCAGCCAGACCTTGGATAGCTTCGTCTCCCAGTAGGTCATATGAGAGATCAAGCGAGATGAGTGTCTGCATGAAACAGTGAAGATGGAGATGAGACACCTCAAGAGAAAACGTGATTCACCTTGTCATTTCGTAAAGCATCAGCTACATGTTGAGCTCCTTTTACTCCAACACGATTTGCGCGAAGATGAAGATTTGTTAATGTCTATTTGAAAAGAAGTGACGAATATAATGAAAGAGATAAAGGAGAGAAGCTAACTGTATTGTTACGTAAAGCATCAGCCAGATCTTGAGCTTGTCCTTCACTTTCAATTTCATTTTTCCAGAGGTCAAGCTCAGTGAGTGCCTGCAAGAGGACAAGAAGGTAAGGATACGAAAGATAAAGAAAGAAAGAGGTTTACTGTGTTATTTTGTATAATATTAGCTATATCTTTAGCCGCCTGATCTCCAACTTTGAAACTGCCGAGGACGAGTGTTTTAAGTGTCTGTGTGACGAAATGAGGATAGAAATGAGAAAGATGGAGAAAAGTGGAGATTTACCAAGTTATTTCGCCAAGCGTCAGTCAGAAGTTGAACATATTCGTCTTCAATTAGATTGCTTACGAATCTGATTTGGGTAAGTGTCTGTAAGAATAAATGAAGATGGAAATGTAAAGATGAAGAAAAAACCGAGGCTGACTTTGTTATTTCGTAAATTATTAGCCAAATGCTCAATGGCTTGGTTCGCTATTTCATTGCCCGAGAGAGTAAATGTAGTGAGTACCTGTGGAAAACAAACTAAGACGTCAATGAGAACGATGGAGAAAGAAGAAAGACTTACTTTGTTATTTTGTAAGATATTAGCAAGTTGTTGCCCCACTTTCTCTCCAATTTCTCCGTCACTAAGCTGGAGTGTGTTAAGTGTCTGTTAGATGAAGTGTAGATAAAAATGAGAAAGATGAAGATAAAAAGAGATTGACCGTGTTATTTTGTAAAGCTTCAGTCAGATATTGAAGTTTTTCTTCTTTCATTTTATTTCCGAGCAGGCTAAGTGCAGTGAGTGTCTATGTGATGAAGGAAAGTTTGAAATTAGAAGTATGAAGATAGAAAGAAAACTAACTTGTTATGTCGCAAAGTATCAGCCAGATATTGAATAGCTTGGTCTCCTACTGTATTGCCACAGAGACCAAGTTCAGTGAGCGTCTGTGAAAAAAAGTTACGATTGATAATGAATAGGGGCGTTATAAGAAGAGACAGAGATTTACCGTGTTAGTTCGTAAGGCATCAGCTAAATATTTAGTCGCTTCGTCCGTCATTGTATTGCTAATTAAACTGAGTTTGCTGAGTTTCTATGTGAAAAAGTGAAAATAGACATCAGAAGTATGAAGAGAGAACCAGATTTACCTTGTTATTTTGGAAAGCATCAACAAGATGTTTAGCCACTTCATTGCTGATGTTACTTGAAAAGAGGTTGAGTTCAGTGATTACCTGTGTGAAAATTCATTAAAGAAATTGGAGAGAACGTCACAGACAATACTTTTTCGATGGTCGAAACAAAGGAGACGACAATGTTGCCAAGCTCCAACTTGATAATAACTCTTGAAAGAGGGTAGCACATTTTCTTTTTCATATTATCAGTTTACTAAATAAAGTAATACTCTTCTTTAACAGCCCGTAACCGACAAAGAAAGTAGTACTTTTTATCCTAGATAATGCTATTTTTGGCATCAAGATAAAAGAGACCAGAGAGAGGAAGCGCAAGTGCACATACCTCAAAGAAGAATTGCAAGTATGCGAAGGCACATTCCTCGCTTCATCTCCCTCATATTTCCCAGTACCAACAATAACAAAATCTGCAAAAAAATAATAGTTTTCATAAGGTGAACTACATGAAAAGCATCGTTACACTACTTGAAGATACTTGAACGTAGTGACGCTGTGTATTACTTGTCATTTCATGGCAATACTGAACGTTTTTTTGTATTCAGTAAAGTAATGGCACAGAAAAATAGCATGCAATAACTCACTTCATACAATATATGAAATATTATCTACTAGATTTCCGACTTGCGTCGAGTACAGAGTTGCTTTCACGACTCATGTTCTTCAAGGGCGGGATACCGACAATGGAGTCTTTTTTGATTAGTTAAACCAAATAGTAGACCCGTAATCAGTCATTTAGATAAGTAAGAAAACGTCTGTATCAGTATGCACCATCTTATCTTCTTTCATTACGACTAAGATGATAATAAGCATGAATAATTTTTTTAACATTTATGTATGGTTTGTTAATCTGATCGAAATCAACATTTAATGGACTTGATTATTCTTTTACAATTTCTATTCTAAAATTTTAGAGAAATAAGGACCAGCTGTCGTTAGATTAGTTGCATTATCGATGCGACAACGACTCTCAATCAATGATACAGCTTCACTATGGTGACACGACAGTTGAGCTCCCGATACTTGAGCCCCCATTAAACAGGAGATTAAAGAGTACAAGAAAATAATTTTTTTTGAATAAATTATGGGAGGTGAATCGTGCAATGTTGTTGCACTATTTCTAATCTTTGGTTTAAATTTCATTGGCTAGTGTTTCTTCGGTATTTGGTGCATGAATACGATCTGTGACTTAAACGTATTTTGTACCATCAAAGCACACACGACCTGCACAATTATTTCTACAGACACGCCAGATGCTTTGAGATTTATTGCCAAGGCGGTAACAAAACCCGTCAAGTACAAGTTAATCCTTGTTTTTTGGAGATTTTGCAAANCTTGTTTTTTTTTTCATTTGACGAAAGAAGTGTGTATGCACAGGTAAATGCGGCGCGGCATAAAAAGAAAGCAGAATAAGAGAAAAATATGTTACTTCAGTTTGTTTCACAAAAGTAACAGCATATGAACTTTCATCGTCAATATAATCCTATGATGAAGATTTGTTTTCGTGACGAAAAATCTGCCTTATTTGTTTTATATTTAATTTCCTCTTTCAAACACAGATATATTATGATATTGATGTCTTTTTAAAATCTTGTCATTAATCATCGTAAATAAAGTTAGTATGACAAAGTTTTACAAATGCTTTACGAAGCTTCAATTTTATGTTTAAATATCTTGATCTCAATAAGTGGAACCAATAATAGAATGCTCAAGAATTTCTGAATGCTTTCTTAAAACTTCCTTTTTGCAATTCTCAATCAATTAATTTTCATAGAAAATCACGAGTGTTTTGAAAACCTCTTATCTTATATAGCTATTGTTTAGTATACGTCAGTCGAGTTGTATAAACTATTTCTCCAATAGCTGACATTTTGTTTATCTTTATAACTATAAATGTACTTTGGTAAGAACAACGATGATAATAAAAAGGAAAAAAACCTTATGTCAGTATGTGATAAAAATATCAAGAAACAACAAAACGAAACATGATACACGATAAAAGAGTCCATTAGGTTCAACATTTTCGGACCCAATCGAACTGTATTTTGATACTCTCAATGAAATTTTCTAATCGAAATTCAATAACCTCTCTGAAGATGCGAGATACTTTTTTCAAGTTGTTTTTTATTCGGTGACTAGTGCACCTTATACATGTCTCAAACGATTAGAGTTCATCAGATCCAGGACCAACCCGATGGACTCTACACGTTAGTAGAAAATTTCCTATAATTTCAAAATACATGATTTTTGAGGCCATAAAATAACAAAAAAGGAATATGTGACGAATCTTACGAAAAAAAATGTTGCTGGATGCAAAAAAGAAATGATAAAATTTCTATTGTTCTCATGAGATTTATAAATCTGAAAAATCACTTCAATAGTATAGTCAAATAAAAGACAAATCTGATGATTTGAGTACATTTAGACTAAAAGACATACAATAATGTGAAAGGTAATTTGTGAACCGTATCTGCAAGAAACGATTGCCTGAGAATTAAATGACACAAACTTCAAGTTAGTTGAAAATTTGTGACTAGTGGTCGAACGACTTAACTCTAGAAGACAACTCAAATCTCGATGAATTGAAGAGATATATAAACAAAGACTGATCTAGAATTAGTATTTAAATGCTAAGCTTTTTGATAGTTTGTAAGAAAGTCAGATGATGTGTCGCTCTTATTAAATCGAAGGGACAGCGTTTTATTGTTAATAGCTGTAGTTGTAGTCTATAAATATTCATCACTTTTAAGAGGAGAAATTTTGAGAAAAACAGTACAAAGAACTATCAAAGCACATGATGAAGTAACTAGAAGTTTGAAACGGTATAGTACAGTACGAAGAAGTCTTAGGAATCGCAGAGGAGTATGATAAAATACAAAAGTATACCTTTTTTCTTCTTAGATTATTCCATGTGTATACTGAATGATTATAGTGAATGACTCATGTTTTCTTTTCTGCATTTCTACTCCGTTTATTTGGAAAGAAACTTGCAAACATAAGAACGAAAACTATTTTGAGGTGGGTGTCAGCGACAGATAAAGCATGATTGACAATGAGTTACTATGTATGACTCATTATTTACATTAATAAAGGCGGATGAATAAGCTTAACTCCCATATTAAGATAACATAATTTCAATATTATTGTTTTTTAGAATGACATGTATATATATGTACGAAAATTATAGAACATGTACCATATTTTCTTGAACCAAGTATAACCAACCAAAACAGATAAAACAATGATGTTGCAATATAACATTCTTTGGCTTGATCAAAATTCGTCAGATCCAATGAGTAGTTTTCGTGCTAAACTTGGCGATGCCCAAACATTCACAAATGTTAATGATTGTATTCAGTACATTCAATCTCATCCAAATGATCCCATTTATCTCATTGTTTCGGGTTCGTTGGCTAAAGAAGTCGTTCCAGTAATCTATGAATCTTCAAATCTTGTACAAATCTTTCTTTTTTGCGGATCAATTTCTACTTATTCGGAATGAGGAATAGATTATTGTGATAAAATGATGATATTTGATCATGGAGACGATCTTTTAGAACGATTATGGAATGATTTACAAAACAAGTTACGGGAACATGCGACACTATGTTTAAAACGTGCAGAAGAGTACAAACAACGAGCTTTACAATATAAAAAGTCATGTGGTTAATAGAAACATCTTGCAATAGAAGTTTTTTTTGTAACAGAAATCTTAAGAATTTTGTATAGTAACTGAAAAATTTTTTCATTTGATCAATTTTCGATAATTTTACTTCTTTCTTTTCATATTAAAATAAAGTCTTTTCAATGGATTCATAATTCTAGTATTTCTTCTTTTTGTTTGGTAGAAATTCTCTATTACCTACACTTCAAAGAATTTGTTTTCGAACTTAGAAAAGTGATCATCTAATTAGCTCAACTATATAGTTATTCATCTCATCATAGCCGTCAAAACAAACGGTTTTGTTATACCGTCTGATATCAATTTTTTTATCACTACCGACTATAATCAAAAGGATAATGTCTATTTTGAAAGAGAGGTTTTCAGAAGCAATATATTTTATATGAAAAGAAAAGCTTATTGAATTCTCTGCCAATCGATATCATTTGGAATAGAACACATATTCTCGTTGAGATATTTAGCCACACATGTTTTTTTTCGCGTTGTACATCCTAAAGTCGTCAAATTGAGTTCTTTTTAAATCGAGTTGTCTGCTGTCGATTCTCTTGTTTTTTCATATGAGTGAAATAGTTATTAACTGTCCATTATTTTTTTATTCATTATCATTGAAACAGTAAATAAAATCAATGTTGTTTAATATTCCCTATTATGCTATTCATTTTTCTATTAAGAATAAAAACTTCAAAGAATTAACTAATGATGTGCTTAAAATTGTTTTCTCTAAAACTACAATAGAGGTGTTTTAGTCAAAGCGTAGAATAAGTGACTTAGAGAAGTTCTATTATCACAAATATATATAAACATCTACTATTGATAGTTTGAAATAAAACACATTTTAAAATATGTTTCTAGATTAATAAAACAGACAATCAAAATGTTGAAGGTGATGACTGCCTTTTTTTTACCTTAAATTTCAATAGCTATGAGTCTATGATTAAATAATAAAATGAATAATCAACAAATATAGCGTGGAAGAATACAACCACTCTAAAACATTCTTTTTATCATAACTGACGTAGGTCAACAATTTCCAATTCAATTTCAGTTTTATATTATAAATCACGAGTAGGGTTAGGTCATGTTGATCGTACAATGTAAGCAAGTATTACGAATACAAATTGTCAATTATTAAATGTTAATGGTACCCATACCCCATTAACAGACAATGTCAAAATTGATATCAAACGAATTTGTATTTAGTTGTTTTTTCTTGCTACGCGAAATAAAACAAGGCTTGCAGACAATAAGACTTATCTTTTGACAAATGAAAATATTTTATTACTAGATTATTTTCAGCATAAATATTTTGTCGTAAATGATTACAAGAATAAGTGAGGTATAGGACAAGTGTAGATATTTTCTTTCCATTTACAGCAAAGTCCATGCCCTAAAAATATACAGATGATGACAACGGTAAAGAGGCAATAATTGGATTTTCTTTGTTTCCTGTTTACCATGGATCTGGAATGAGAGACATTTTTTTTGTACCAACAAAAGCGTATAAGATGCAAATATTAGTGTCATATACAAGATGAAATTTATTAATACTTGCCTTTTGGAGATAGCAATAATACAGAAGAAAAGCTATTAAAGATGATTGAATCATCACAAAGATAATAAGAGCGATCAATATGCTTCAAAATGACTTGTATAATCTTCTGTAGCTATAATACTGGATGAACTAAAAGCCATTTTACTGAATAAAATATTGAATATTACCATTATAAATTCATTAAATGAGTTGATTCTTTTATTAGTGATAAAAAAAATGTACATAGCTGTCATCCATAAGAAAAATCTTAGAAATTTTTCTTTGAAACGTAAGGGTGTGACCGTGAGCATCGAGAATAGAGTCTACACCACGATACATTCACATCCTCATATTATATCAACAGAATTTTTGTTTTAAATGTAAAGCTCTACTAGAAGTTAAGATTAAATCTTTGAAAAATAGTGAAGATGATAGGGATGAAGCAATCATAGTAGATCGATATTACTAAGATGTAAAACAAAGAAAGAATACCAAATATGTAACTTTGCATTTGATGAAAAATGTAATTTAATAAATCATCAAATTACGTATTGTTTCAAGGTATCTTCTTAAACAGAAGAAATATAAAGTGTTTTTAATGTGGATCTATCTCAGTCCCTTTCAGATGCATACAAGTTACTTAAAAATTATTAGAAACAAATAATGATAAACAACGAACTACCTCAGAAAAAGAGTTTAAAATGTTGTGCAAAATGAAATTAATTTAGTGACGTATAACATATTTATTTTTATAAAACAATCAATCATCAACTCATCCGCAAACTCTAATGATGTTATTCTTGATAAATCTATTTCTTCTAGAATGTCAAATGATTCTGTTATTAAAAACAGTGCTGATAATAATCTAACAATGGTAAGACTAAAGAAAAATCATTGGACCCGAAAAGTGCTAAATCCTTGCTCTAGTCATATAGGATAATAAAACGAACATTTCATTATTTAAATGAGATTAAAAAAGCCTGTTACATTTCTCCTTCAATTTAAAAAATCAGGTTTACGAGCAACTGAAAACGAAGAAAATATATACAGGCGATTGAAGAATCTCATCATGATATTGACCGTGTTTTGAAGTAAGAATTTTGAAAAATAAATTTTATTTTTCGTGTTCAAAATTTTGATTCTGAAATGAATTAAAATAGACTATCAAACTGAACACAAAAATGAAAATAACTAATTTAAGAAAAGAGACTTTTGGAAAAAAATTGACATTTTGGGAGGGAGTTCTAGATCCTACAGTATTGAAGAAGTTTTATGCTTCGTTGGGTAGAAAAAAAAGAATATTTTTTTCACATAAGTATTCAATATTCTCCACGCAATTTTTTTTTGTTTTCCTTTTTTTTCTCATCCTTTACTTTTCAAAACAAGCTAAAAGAAATGCAGCGTCAAGTAAAATGTAAAAAGGAATAGAAAAAATACAGGTTTCTTTTTCAAAATTATCGAGCAAAAAGAAACACAAAATTCAACGTTGTTAAGGTACGATATGAAAGAATAGATGGAATAGTCGTTGTACGTTTAGCATTCATTGAAAGTTCATTGAGAATAAATGATTAAAAACATATACTTATTATAAATAGTTTCATAACTACTAATCATGAAAATAAAATTCTCAATATATGTGTATATATTTATTTTTATTTGTATATTGAAAGAGTGTAGAAAAATATTGATTAAGTTTATGTGAAATGAATCAATAAATCTGAATCAGCAGCTTTCAGGACTTATTTTTTCGAGATTTATTGAGCGTTTTTAAATAACCCGGGTATATGTTTCTGTTTCGGAATTCATTAGAGTTTGAGAATGTAGGTGTTAGTGTGGATGTTACTGTAGAAGATTTGTTTAATAAACCTGTTGAGAGAATAAAATATTTGAAATAGATCCTGTAAGATACAATAATCCGGGAATATGTGACACGATTTTTAAAAGATGTAGTAATTCAGATTCTTTGATGATTTTGTCGAATAAATCGACTTGAGAAAAATTAACCCAATGCTGAATTAATTTATGTTCAGATGCAATTAGATCAATCTTATAGAAGACATCATTCTTTGACGATATGTGATATAGGTCAAAAATATTTTAGAAGTTTAAAAAAATCTATAAATTTCAAAAAAAGAATAACTTTTTTTATAGATAATTTAAGTTCCTTCTTATCGATTTCTTATTTTCATGCCATCTTTGGAGACAGATAAAACATCCAAGGATACATTCCCCAGTAAAACATATCGTGTAGCAATAAGTTCCACTGGACGCGTCGGTTCACTGTATGATGCATATCGAGATTGTGTCTTGCAAAGATTGAACTTCTGTAAGATAGAAGAAAGGGTGTGGGTGTGGGTGTGGGTGTGGGTGTGGGTGTGTGGGTGTGGGTGTGGGGTGTGGGTGTAGGTGTCGGCGTAGGTTAATACTTTATTCACAATCACAGGCACAACTACACCCACACCCACACCCTTATCAACCGATAAACGAATACACCCGTTTTATTCAATATTCCTCGTTATATCGAGAAGAAAAACTTCCTGGCCATCCTGCGAAAATCGAACTTGTCGATAAATTAGCAACGTTTGCCACTGTTGCAACTCACATTATTACAGAAGTTTATTTTGGAATTCGTCTGACTATCATTTTACAGTTGCCAACTGTTCCGAACACAGTTGCAGCGATTAATAAAGTACTTACGACACTCTGTAACCGTTTACAAAATCATCAGAGTGCTTACCTATTAACTACATATGAAAAAAGTATCTTAGAAAAAATAGTTCACACAAAAGTCTATTCGAATATATTTCATTTCAGAAATCTCTCTAAAATATGAGATGTTTGTTGTTTGATACAACAAAACCAATCTTATCTTGGCAATTATCCAATATCTTACACTCTTCTATCCATAAAAGAGTTCTTTTCTCAATATTATGAAGGAAATGCACAGTCCAATATTCTACCGGAAGAGTGCAATAAAGCTATCGAAAATTATGTACTTCAACTAACAGTTAGAATGAAAAGCTTAGAAAATTCTGTGACACAGAATATGCCAAAATTCTTATGTGAACATTTGAAACGGCAATTTAATAACATAGAAACACAATGGTTCGATGTGAAAAAGAAATTTACAAATGAAATCCAACGAATTTCAAATTTAGTTGTCGAAATTCGTAGTAGCAGAACTGACAACTTCACGATCCATGATAGACTTCACAATAATGAGCAAATAATGATGCAAACCGGTATTACTGATTTGACTCAGAATCTAAAACATTTGGAGGAAAAAGAATATTTCATTAGGAATTTAAACCAGTAAAGGTTTCAATATTTGAATGCTGATGTATATAAAATCGATAAAACGGACAATGAAAAAAGTATTGCAGATAAACTAGTTAAAGATCATCAATATTATCGACTTCTCTGCTCAAATGATTGCTTAAACAAGAATAATTCAAATGAATTAAAAAACTTAATATCTGATTTAACGGAAGAACTCAAAAACAATTCTAATTTATGTCTTATCTATGCTGATTTTTCCGATTCTTCTTTTCAATTATCTAATATGATGGTACTACAATTGCTAAAAAACCCTTTCAAGTGAATAGTGGGAGAATGGTCATTAAAATGCACATAGATTCGTTTTTGAACCCTTTTACGACCACCGTGACTACTTTTCAGGACTGTGGGTGTGGGATCTGAATTAACGTCATGTAACCTGAGTCAATCTAAAATAACTTAGTGTTTATTAATTTGTATCAAAAGCTATAGTAAGGTCTACCAGGATCTATCACAATTGCATCGCGATATTTCAAAAAAAAAACTCATATCCAAGAATAATGTGAATTTTACGAGATTTTCATTGTATATTTTGATTTT